CCTTTTGTCCCATAGCAAAAATACAGTTTAAAATGCACTGAGCATGTATTTTATTTATCCTGCAGCATTCATTCATAATCAGACTATTGAAACTTAAACAGTTTTGGTGTTCAATCTGTGTTTACCTGACATTGACGCTACATTGAATTTTGTCTCATGACGGACGCCAAAATAACTGCTCCACAAGGAAACATAGTTCCAAACTTCATCTAATATAACATCGATTTTAAGATTTTTCATTAATCAATTTCTTCATTACAATATGTAAAATTACTTATTTCGGCAACTATTTATAATTCTAAACATAATATTTAAGTTAATTCTGAGAGTAATTTTATCGAATTAACGCATGTGCTAAAATACAGCTGTTTTTCGTCACTGCCAAATACAGCAAAATATATGTGGCAGGTATATTCCGACAACTGCACTACCATTAGCAGGAGAGATAAATTGATATACATGTTTTACTTAGGGAAGAAATTATGCTAAACAGGATATTATAGATAAACATAGTAGGTTAAAGCGCCTATATGTATGTTTTGGTTTCTCGCTATGATTCGTGGTATATGGAATAATGTTTCGATTTATCAGTAGTTCCAGATAATTTGTTTTAATAAGTTTCACTAAACTGTTCAAAATAGATGATTTGTAGGTGTTTTTCCCGTGGTGCTTCTTCTATTTCACATTTTTGTCGAATTTTCATATTTAAACGAAAAAAATCAACCTTCTTAAAACGTGTACAAATAACACGTTTACTATTACAGGAAGCATCAATATAAGCAGGAGAGCCTTTCTGTATTCCCGTGGCAGAGAAATTGCTCTCACGATGTCTTCAGGCAGCATTCCTTGTGAACTGCATATTTTAGAATGACAATGATAGTTGTTGTCAGATTAATCTTTATCACATTTGCTTTCTTGATTTCCCAAGCCATCAAGTAATAAAATCCTTTCTGAACAAGTTAACGCACATAAAGGATAGGTAACAATCCATTTTACGAAATTGGACTTCGTAAGGTCAAGGTCATTCATTTAGAGACAATGTTAGAGAGATTTGTGAATTATAGACGTAATTTTGTGGGAGTGACACTTTGACATGAGAAAGCGGTCTGCAATAAACACGTATACCATCGTGAAACGTATCAATAAGTTATACATGTACAGCCTTGTTAAGCACCCAAGCATACCGTCCTTGGAGAGTCACCGAGGTCATATCGGAAACGCATTTATCAAATTGAAGCAAATTCGATATAGGACAGGACGCATGCTTCCGTCGCTATGAATCTATTCTGATTTCTTGATTTAATAGGTTTAAATATGATACTGAGATCTAGTACCATTGCCAAGTCTGTTTCTTTCATATTTCGTGCGATTAGCATACACCTCGTCCGTCTAGTGATTTCACATTGAGTATCCATATCCTAAACGCTATTACACATATTGAGAACAGCATTTTGGTTTTTAACAATAAAAGTTAAAGGATAATTGTAAAGTGAATAAAGCCGTTTTTCTTCGGGACAGGTTTTCTGGAGAGTGTTAGCAAACGTGCACATTCCCCAGAGAATATTTCTGCAACATAAACACATTTTCGTGTGTAAGTGATGGATGGACATTTTAAAGATTGCGAGGGGAAAAACAAGTTGAGAGCGCCCATGGGAGAGTGTAGCAGACTTGGAAATAGCCCATTATGTCACTACACTGACTATGGTGTTTCTCTCGCCCTTATTGTAAGACTTTATTTTATCATGTGAGGCACGATGGCGAGTCCATTGGTTATAAATCAATGTATAGCTAGACCAGGTATGTCCGTAATAACAGTTCTACCATGAGAACAGCTTCATGTTGGGCGGGACGATAGCAGGCTTATCTAGGCGGAGTCGGATGCAGGTTATCTGACAGGCGTGGCGAGTCTCCGGGTTGGCCTAACATCTCCCTACGACCTGCCGCTTTGGGGCAGCACGTATTTCAGGCAAAGACATCACCACCGTGTATCTAATGGAATTTCTATTGATCGTAAGAAAATACATTACCAAAACAAAAACAACACATTCAATTTCATTTCTAAGCGATAGTGGTCTGGTGTCCGTAAACAGCTTTCCACTTATCAAACGTGCAATGCTAGAGATAGTGATCGGACAATAGTGAGGCAAGAAGGTTATCTGAGATGTTATGCTATAAATCCTATTGCATAAGTGTTTTTAAGTAATGACGATTTGATTTACCGAGAATAGCAGCGTCCCTTTCGATGAAAGGAACCAACGGTGACATAGCGCGGTTGTCCTACAATGTAGTCGTGAACGGTTTTCTCCCAGTCCTCCATCATATCGGTTTTTGTGTTGTCACAACCAATGGGACATGTAAACAATCTCGTCATTCATACCATCAATCGTCAGGGTAATCAAAATGTCAGCAAATACCAAAGTAAAACCGCTTAATCGAGGACTCGGCAACTTTCTGCCACAAAACATATTGCAAGCATAGCTCGGATGGTAGTTTCAAAACTAACGTGTACATCAATGCCGATATTGTTTCCACTAAGCCAGCCGTAGAAACTGAAGAACCTAGACAATATTTACAAACTCCACGTAAGCATCCTTTTTTTTGCTCCCGGATCCGGAATGCACTGTACCTGCTTTCCCCATTACATGATCGTAAGAGGTAACTAAAATTGAAATCTATCTCCCGCAGCGAAAACTCGTCTTTTACTCTATTGAAAGTTCATTTACATGTAGGCGAGTAAGGTTATGGACTATAATTCATGATTGAAACTCGCCAACGTGGATGGAATTGGTAGTTAATACTCTTTTTTGTGACTTAATTTTGTCACCAACACATGGTTCAACCAAATGAGATAACCATAAGATTTGGGTAGCTCAGTTTTCTGTTTATTGCGGTCAATTAGGGTGTCATTCTACCATATCATGGTTATCGCACTATAAACACGTTTAACATGGCACAGAGAAAGCCTCAACTTTGAGAATGTAAAAATCCACTCAAATATATAACAGTATATTGGAACTACATTTGGCACATTCGTATTAAGTTTAATTCAGTTTAGGAAAAGCGTCAGTAGTGATGATTTTTAATTAAACTTCTATCTATATTTATTATACTTTTATTAATTTGTGTGCTAAGAACACGTATTTTAGGTGTATGTTTGAATTTCAATCGTAACTTACATATTTCAAGTTGTGTATGAACTCACTCAAAAGTTCAAAAAGATTTTAAAATTATGTATTTACCTATCATTTAAAAAAAAAAGAAAAAATGAGGAAAGACATTGTCATTCCCTTATATAAAAAAAGGCGGGGGAGGGGGGAAGGGGGGCGACCAGTTAAATCTTCATTCTTGCCATTTTTCAGTTTTGAATCACAAGTTTTCATGAGATTTTATCCAGATCTTCCCGAGTTTTTTCTCAGTTTTTTCATCCTGACATGCCAATAATTTATCCGAACTTGCCGCTTTTCCACATCCAAGATGGATTTTGGTGAAAAGTAATTTATACCCTTTTGTGAACAAAAGTGTGTACTTGTGTTTAAATACTTATCTCATTAATGAATAAATATTTCAACAACAATTCTATACTTTGCTATTTTTTTTTTTTTTTTTTTTATTAAAGTCAGATTTAATGGAGGACGGAAGCAAACAAGCTTCTGGTTCTGACCAGAAAGAGACTGACATATAAGATATTCCTGTCTTGATATGTGTATGGTATATAGACACACTAATCGAATGATGATTTTTTACCAGGCGCGGTATATCTAATGATTTGCTTAGAAGACGAAATGAATTACACTTAAAGAGTGCAAACATCGTAAATGTGATTGGCAGTCGAACTTCGTTATCTCGAACCCGGCTGGAGCGTGGGAAAACTTCGAGATAACGGAGTATTCGATTTAAGTGAGTTAAGTAAGAGTGTTATGTAAAGTTAAGCAGGAACCGACGAAATACTTCGAATTAAACGGGGTCTTCGAGTTATACGCATTAGAAATAACGAGGTTCGACTGTGTCAGTGAATTATTAACTATCATTTTATAACTTGCGAATGATGTTGATAAGATGTACATACAATGATGTGTTGCAGGAAAATAATCGCAACACAAATTCTACATACAATGATAATGAAATGGATCGGAGAACGAACAAAAGTAAACATCATGAACCCGCACCACCAGCACCACTTCCCCCGTTTCTACACCCCCTTTGAAAATATTCGACGTTAAAGTACTTGTAATTCATTCTTAAAAGTGAACGCTTTAAAATACTACTTATGACATATGTTCTAGCTTAGTTGGCGTCCGATTACTTTAAATCATTGATAAAGATACCGCCATATTGGAAATTGCCGACTAAAATATGAAATGTTTTATGTATATTAAAAAAAAATCTGCCGCATGTGAAATGTATGTGCGATAATTATGTATATATTTTGTTTGTGTCTGTCTCAAAAACTAAATATGATCAGCTACGACTAAAACATTTTACGTATCTAGGAGTTCAGAAAAAAAATCTGGCTTTGGCTTTTTAAAGCTTACGCATGAACATCACGTGACTATCAAGTTCTAATTAAGTTACTACGCTTTGTGTGATATGAAGCTGAAAATTTGGACGCTCACTAGTTTGCCTACTGGTGCCGTTGTTGTATACCTAGTTCTCATCGTATTGTGGTTTTACTCACTTGAATTGACCAAGCTTTACATGGCAGGCGACGTCAATAAAGCAGAAAACGCTAAGTTTACCGGAACACCTGGTCTTACCATCCTTGTACTTTTTCGGTACTCTCAATTTAAACTTTCCATTTGTTCATATTTTTCACTTGTTTAATTTAATTTCAGTTTAAATTATCATCATGTTAAAATGTTGGTATCTTCCTGTTGTTTTACCAAATACAGAGAAGGTCAATCTAATAACAAAATTTATAACACGTGATAATCACGTGACCGCTTTAAATTAAAAAAAAAAAGACAAAGAAATTCAAAATTAATGACCAGTGGACTACTTACATAGGTGAACCAGACATTTGTCTCCAACACCTGGTTCTTCTCATCTACATTGAGGATCTGGATGAGGGACATCCCAAAGTGGACAAGGATGCTATCGCTCGTGTTGACCACTGGTCTTCCAACTCGTCCATACCTTTCATATCGGTCCAACAGCTTCTTGATGAGCTGTTTCTCTTTGGACATATAAACCTTGGATGTGTCAGCTCTTACTGATCCAGTGATACCAACTGAAAAATATACATGAAATGCAGATAAGAAATCAAATCAAGAGTCTTCCTACTTTTTACAACCAGAAATATCACATCGAATATAACAGAATCACATGTTAGGAAAAATAAAGTAGCTTTACTTGTACAATAAGTACCTAGTTCTAGGAACGTGTTTACTAGCGTACGGGTACCTAGTTCTAGGAACGTATTTACTAGCGTACGGGTACCTAGTTCTAGAAACGTGTTTACAAGCGTACGGGTAACTAGTTCTAGAAACGTGTTTACAAGCGTACGGGTAACTAGTTCTAGGAACGTGTTTACTAGCGTACGGGTACCTAGTTCTAGGAACGTATTTACTAGCGTACGGGTAACTAGTTCTAGAAACGTGTTTACAAGCGTACGGGTAACTAGTTCTAGAAACGTGTTTACTAGCGTAAGGGTACCTAGTTCTAGAAACGTGTTTACTAGCGTACAAATATCACTAGGGCGTGTTGGTGTCGAATTGTACATATATTTACCAATACAAACACATCTTATCATTTCAAAAGTAATTAAATTACATTATACATTCTGAATAAAATGATTGATAGATGAAGATATGTGGGCGACACACGTTATACAAAATGTTGAAGCGATATAAAAATTGTTTTTGAGAGAAAGGATAGGAAAGTACAAAAATACAATGAAACAGACACGTTCACTTTGTATCGTCTGCCGAGTTCAAAACATAACGATCTTAAGTATAATGAGACAGTGGCCGGTAAAGGTTACGGACTCTGAAATTGGCACCTAATGACAGTAGTGGTGAGAAAATCCACCTGACATTTCGATGTGGCCATTATCCTGCTACAACACATCGACTTCTTCTAACACAATTTGGCGTTAAAATTGTGGTTCACTTAATCGATACAATATCAAAAATGCTGAGAAATTATTCATGAAATATGATTAAAGTTTAGTTTTTTTATCAATTATATGCAGTATATTACGTTATGTCCAAGGTTCGTGAAGGAAATGAATTTGTCAGGAACGTAGACAGGTCTTGTGGCGTTACAGATATAAATAAACTATAGGGTTTCTTAATCTCTTTTTCATCCATATATGGTGTGACAACTCTCACCAACATTTTCCTAGCAAGATATAAAAACACACTTGAAACTCGTCCTAAAAGACTACCGAAATGCGTCAATGCAATAATTTAAAACCTAACGTCATTTTGCCTTAAGCTGGAGGAAACTGAGAAGAACAGACATCTCCATTTAACGGCACTTTGATATTTGCTAGAACTTTCCCTCATAGGAGCTCCCTTCTCCTGTTGTATCTTTTAATTGGCGAATTTAAAAGAACAATTTCACCTTTGGGGATAATTTAGTTTGTGTGTGCCGGTTTCGGTGATGTCTCGCTATAAAACGACATGATACAGCGGTCAGGATTACGTAAAAAGATTAACCATGCAGGCAAGGAAGTGCCGACGGCTGTAAAACTAAGCCTACCTAGTTGACAAAATGGCATATGTTGTTTTAGACAGCGCCAAAGAGCTACGAAGGCAACTCCGTGTAATCTACTGCATCAGCATACTTTCCAGCGGATGGAGAGATCCTGCATATTTCAGCGATAAAAAAATATCTTGGTTCGGGGAATAACGATGTGGAGAGAAATTTGTTACCATGTATCTAAACCTTGTAGAATAAATGAAAAGGACACTGATTGATTGTTTTTATAGTTACTCCCGTTGTGTAATACAGTGTATGTTTGTTTCAAATTTTTATCTGACGTGCGAAAGCGAAAATTCTGACAATGGTTTAAAACGAGCAAAGCACACGCAAATAGAAATTACACGTACACAGACACATGTCAAGTACTAACATATTCACTTTATTTCGAATATTGATATAGCATTTACAATCTGAAGACACACAAGTGAATAAAACCTTTCAATATAAATTCAGAATAAGGTAAAGTCAGGTCAAAACTGAATTAATTTGCATGATACATGTACGGCTGTTTCGTCCTTCTATGGCTTGGCGACATCTGAGGAAAATCAGAATCGATCGAAAGAAATGTCAATATATAGATGTACAGGTTCACCATCCACATGATTCTATTGATTTTGTAATTGTCACATATATTTCTGAAAAGCATCAAACACATGTATATCAAGAACATATACATGTTGTATACGGAAAACCTTGTGGATTAAAAGACCACAAGAATTGCCTACCACTTGCAATATCAAAGATTCAGTATTTTCGGTACAGCTCCCACGATATTTTTGCACTAATTCTTTGAAATCGTGTCACTTGGAAGGAAAATATACAGGAAGCAATAAAATGGCGCTGTGTTCCCTGTTCACTTACTTATCTCAGAATTTCGTAGATGTCGACAGCCGATACTATAAAAACTTTGAAAGGTGCAATTGATGAAGATCACGGGTCTTTATGACCGTCGCAATGATTTTAGTTGGAAGTATTCGATTTTGTTTTTGCAAAAGTAAGTAAGACATTGGTACGCTTGGTGATTAACCTTGTTTTCTTTTGGGAACATGACATTACTTATTTGGATTAACCAAGACTTTTTTTAAAACAATTTTTTTTCGATAAAGCAAAAGACGCTAACCATTCTGGAACGTATGGTTTACATGATTTCATTTTCGTTATACTTTTTTGACGATTTTTCTTTTTTCCTCGCTTTCCTTTCATTTAATCAACTTCTAGTTTTAATTAACATTCTGTTGGCATGTCTGTTTGTCTTCTTTGTTGATTATTTTCAAAAAATGTATTGCTTTTGCTTTCCATAATTCTAAATGTATATCTTTTAATAGTTATCTTATTTTAATGCTTTTCTGACTGAAAATATGACGCTAAAATATATTTGCGCTAATTACAATATACTTTTGTTATTGAAACAGCAATTATAATGGATTCCGCGATCACAGTGCTCCTTTACGGAAAGTTTATAATTACAAACGTGAATCTGTCAAAGAAATTTCATTTACAGTTGTCTGTTCCGTAATTGTATTTCATGGAAAAAAAGAATGCGTCATGTTTCTTTTGGTGTGGCAAACGAGTAGTTTTACGTGTAAGCGCCTCGTGAACAAACCCTCCCCTTACGTCTAGAGTAATCCGGAACTGTCAAGATCGCCATATCTTTGTGAGACGGACTTTCATGGTACAAACCAAAATTGAGATTCTGAACAATCTATGATGTACTTTACCAGTCCGAACCTGACTTGAAGACAGACAGCTAGGCGATATTGTTGGGCGAGCACTATGACAACAAACCATTGGGACAGTCGTGCAAACAGAGCCTAATGGAATTGTGAAGCTCGATATAATCTGATAAAAATACGCGCACCTTATAAAGTAATGCAAAAGTAGCAAATTAGGCGGGAGTGAGGGACATCAGAAAGAATTAATTTCTTTTTTAGTGGAAATAGCATAGGAACGACATGTAAAATGATCGGACAATTGGATTGTTTGTAGGCAATGATACAGGTTCTATACCTGTTACATGAGATGAGCGGGAGACTGTTGGTTTTAAACACATTCGGAAGATAACTCTTTTGCCACAATTACCGCCAGGCGGCGTTATCACCCTCGTATTTTAGCACCGTTGATTGATAGTTATTTTGAATATCGAATGTTTGTTGTACTTACGAATATTGACACCAGGTGGCAGTACCATGATAAATGTCGTTACAACAACAAGCACGATTTAAATGTCCAATGACTGAAGGCGAGATAAGAGAGCGATACACCTTGTACGGCACTGTGTACATATTAAGAGTGACACTAAGGAAGATTTGAATACTAGGTGGCAGTTCAAATGATTGATATAAATGATGTAATGACATTTATCAATTTACTTACAGTCTTGAAGAGTTTCAATATGTCGTATGTCTCGCTCATAGTAAATATACAGTTAGTATGTAAGATACGTAAATAACGTTTCCTATAGCAACAATTATCATTTTAATTGCCAACAGCTTATAAAATGGTTTACGGTATCATCACTATTTTGGTCTATGTATGAATAACCCTTCGAATTTTTCTTTTTTCGGGGCAATTTATTCTCTGATAATCTTTATAAGGATTAGCGCTTTATTACCATATTTTGAGAGAATAAGAAATAAACAAACAAGCCAATATAATTTTAAACCTGCTCATTTAGCATCATGTTTCCTTCACATATTCCATATTCACATATGGCATGAATTCCTGTCTTGTCGTCAGAAGCATGATGTCTGATTCGATGGTATTTGAGTAACTGCGTTATATATTAACATAGTTTTCACTTAGTCTTAGTGTGAATAATGGATTGCTGGATGGCAACGCAACTGTCTTTTATCTAGGCGACCGGGGTTCGATTCCCCGATCGACTTGAAATGAAAAGATATACATAATTTTTTAATATATGATGAGCCCACTAGTTATCTTTAGTGCCTATATTTAGATTGTATATAAAAGTAATATTCAGATTTAAAATACATTTTCAGCAAATTACGATGAATACATTAAAGCATATATTTCTCTGTGTAACTTTTTTTTTGTCGTAACTGCTTTTCAAAATCCCAAAAGTCAACTAGCTTTGAGGATCCATCCTGTCCGAACCTTTCTGTTCACTGAGTGACTCACTGGCGTGCACTGCAGGGCATTATATATTCTAATCCTATTGTTGTCAATACTTTTTTACACTTTAAAAGATAACTAAAAATCTTGCTCTTTATCGAAGAGCTAACATGTTTTGTCTGAATGTGGTTGTTTTTATCACTAAGCTGCATGCTTACTTTCTGCCTTATATTAATGTTTATCAAATAAAGAGGTGGATGATACCATATCTCTACATAGCGATAAAACACGGGAAAGTACACCGCGACCTTCAGGAAGTGGAGATTGGCTACGATCCGCCTAATCCAAATTCAGTTTAGACCGTGTTTATAGTTTAACATTGCATGAATAAGGTTTAAAGGTGATTAATGAAAGAAAACGAATCTTTTGTAATATCTCTGCAGGCTTTTG